TGAGTCTCCACCAACTGAGATAGACCAGTTTTTACCCTTCTACCCATTGCTCATGCTCTAGTCATGTTCTTTAGGGATGGGATTTTTGATTGAGAACAATTTTCAAGTGTTCCCACAGATTTTCAGTCAGATTCAGGTCTGAACTTTGATTGGACCATTCAGGGATATTCGCCTTGCTCTTGTTAAGACACTCCAGTTCAGCTTTGACCTTGTGCTTTAAGTCAGTACCCTGCTAAAAGGGAATTACTATCCCAGTTTACTAAGGATGTAAGATTCTGCCATGTAACCCAGCATTGTTGAGTGACTAGGATATTGTTTGCTCATGGACATATTCTCAGTAGTTCTTTCAAAGCTGCCTCATAGAGTCACCCTAACTGCTTAGTTTTGAGGAATAGTCTGATGATACACCTTCCACTTCATCATAATCAACTTTACCATGCTCAAAGGACCATTCGGTATTTTTAAAATGTTTTTGTACACTTCTCCTGCGCCATTCTACAACTTTATGATGGTCTTCAAAGTTGAATCCTTTCTAAAAAATAATTGCCTGTATGAGCGATCTTACAGAGACTGGTGGATTTATTCCGAAATAATGTCAACCACTATTATTTCACACAGGCAGAGGCCATTCAACTAATTGTGTGACTTTGTCAAAGCACTTTTGTGCTCCTAAACCAATAAGATTTGTCATAGCAAATGTGGTGAACACTTAATAAACATCACAATAAACATGTTTTTGATTATTCTTTGCAGTTTTGCTGACATTTAACTTTTCACCCATAAGTGTTTGGTGTGAGCATACTGTACAAGCTTGAATTGAAAATATTCACTTTAAAATGTACTGCATGTGTATATCATTTGGAATTCAGAGAGACTGAATCTCTGAAGATGAGACATCTTTGGAAGGAGTTTTTAAAGTAACTGTATTGTAGAGAAGCCCTGTACTAGATTATAGATCCAGCCAAAACATTGTTTAGTTCTCTGTATACATTTTACATTCAGGGAATGTTCTAATCCTTAACCTTCAACTGAGATCATTCTGACCAAATGAGGAGAGTTCTCTCTTTCTTGACCAATGGAGAAAAGCAAGTCCTCTGATGTCAAGCTCTATGATGGAAATTAGTTATCCATAAACAATGGAATATGAAGTAATCTGAGAATCTACCTCCTAGAAGTGAAAAACAAAATTATTTCTCTATAACCTACTGTAAGTTATCTCCTATAAAAGAGAATTCAACCTTGACATGAGGGGAATACATGCTAGCATTGGAGGGTCAGAAAGTTTCTAGTTTTCTTTCCACCTGAACCCTTAATTTAATAATTTTATGTTTAATTGGATAAGTTGAAGACTTTTCTTGTTCTAAAGAAGCTGGGGATTTAAATTGACCTATAAAGACTGCTCGACAGGTGCCCTTGAAGATCAGCATGGGCTCCTCTTACAAAAGAAGAATCCAAAGTGCTCATTCACAGCGCATATAGAGAGGCTTTTAATTAAAAACAAGTGCAATGCATCCAACTAATTATCCATAAACTTGTGGAAATGCATGTACTTAAACGTTTAATGGAGCTCTGTTGGAGTTTCTAAGCTTGTATTAGGCTGCCCTCTTGTGGCTCAACCAATATAGCCAGTCTGATTCTCAGCTGTGACAGTGTGCAGGATAACAAAATTACTAAAAAAGCTCAATTTAAAAATACACATATATACACATAGAAAGTAGAGGATCAGTTAACCTAAAGAAAATCAGATCAAAACAGACCTAAATGATTCCCCACAGAACAATGTTCTGTAAAAGCTAAAGTAATTAATGTTTTATGAAGACAAAGCACCAAAGTAAATGTCAGCTCTTAGAACAAAAAGGACAATATCTACAACATTAGAGAAAGGAAAGAGTAGTTAGACTCAGCTATAACTGCTGATTAAACTTGACATTGCTCATTGGGACCTTTTTTAAGTTTCAGTAACTGGTATGCTCAATCTTTTTCAAAATTTACTCCTTATGTCAGGAACTAAAAGTAGTCCAGCATACGAGTAAATAAAATTGAGAGTTTGCCATAACAAAAACATTTTGTCATGACAGTCCTTTCTTTAGGTTGATTACAGTGGTTATTAAGGTTGCAGTATGAGGATATGGTCCCTTTCACCTGGCAATCCCTGTTAACACAAACTGACTCCTGGGGAGCTCATTGTAATAAATAATGTCACTGCACTGATATCACTGACCACTTGGCGTGTAGTCTGTTGTTTATTATATTCAGGAAGCTTTGGAAAGTGCAAGCAGGACTGTTACCTCAACCTGACTGCAAACTTTCAAAGCTGCTTTAAATAATATTGATTTCCCTAAGAGGTGACACTTACGTTTATTTGTTTTGACCTCAAATTGCTTTTATTACTGTTGATGTATTTTTTTACATTAAACTACTACTGAATTAAATTTAGAGATTATACAAATGAATTATTTATTAAATAATTGACCATTTTGAACCCGTTTAAGCGATTAACCTTATGTGGGTGAAGGAGGGAACTCCAAAAGAGTTGCACATTTAAAAAAAAGATAAAAGACTGTTTTCCGGTTTTGACTAATATGATCAAATTAAAGTGGTCCATTTATTACATGAGATATAAATATCAAATTAAGATTTTGTAGATTGCAATACCACGTGACTTTAGCTCACGTCATTAGTGTCTAATACCAAATTATTTGTATGTGTGCAATAAGTTGCTTTTTTTGTCTAAGTCACATATTTGTGTCAAACTGACCACAAAAATTAACTATGGATTTGTGTTGCAGACAATTGGTCAACTAAGGTCAACCATCATGCTAATTAAATGGATTTTCTTAGAACTGTGCACAGTTGCATACAATATGTCACAGATGTCAGAAAGGACGAACAGTGGAATGGCAGGAGAGCGCAAAAGACCCTATCCGTAGCGGCGAGACAGGGGTTATCCCGGGCCCGGGTTCAGGAAATGCCGAATAGAAACCTATGCCCTCAGGTAGCGGACGTGGGGCGACCTGGTGCTAGGCGGGTCTCAGGACACCGAACATCAATACTGAGCGAAAGCAAATGAAAGGCCCAGAAATACATAGCCCGAGAGAGAGAGAGAGAATATTAAAGTATTGACTACACCTAAAAAACAGTGACCAAAATTCCTACCACCACAAAGCCCTGCTGAGCCAAGAGCTGAGCCCAAAACAGAGCCCCCTGAGCCAGCTGGTCCTGAGGCTCACCGACCTGAGCCACACCGACACTAACCAGCCTCAGGACAACTGCTAGAGCACCACAACCCAGACTCAGCCACATCACAGCACAGATCAAGCAGCAATATCTCACACACTGGGACAGACACACACAAACACAACATAAACTGGAATGCTACAGAACCCTAAACAGACAATACACACTAGCTGAATATTTGACCAAAATAAAAAATAACAAACAAAAACAGACCCTGACGAAGTACAGGCTCAGTGACCACAGCCTGGCCATAGAAACTGGGCGACACAGGCAGACCTGGCTGCCCAGAGAGGACAGGCTGTGCTCCCACTGCCAGCGGGGAGAAATAGAGACAGAGGTGCACTGTGACAGATACTCTGGGATTAGAGAAACATTCTTCCCGAAATTCAGAAATCTAATCCCAGAGTTCCCACACCTGCCAGAGTCACAACGGGTCCCAATCCTACTGGGAGAGGGAGGAGGGAACTCAGTTTATCTGGCAGCCCAGTATGTGATCTCCTGTCACAGCCTGAACAGTGAGTCTGTCTTCCAATAATGCTCCAGCTGCCTACAGTATGTGTCAATATTTTATAATATGTCTTTGTTGTAAATGTCTGTAACATGTCTGTAGGTTTTATTTTACTTCTATTTTTTGTTTTGTTCCATGTTCATTTTATTATTTTTATTTGCTTTGGCAACACTGATTGTACCCATCGGTCATGCTAATAAAGCACCTTGAATTGAATTGAGAGAGAGAGAGAAACACCGGAAGGAAAGCACCGGAAATAAGAGACAGGACAGAGAAGGAGCGCCCTCTGGCTGCAGAGGGCGTGACACAATACCTGAGGTTACTGTACATTTCCCCTTAGTATTACCCTCTAGTGTCTAGTTTTGAACAAAGCAGTTCATTGAAAGTAAATACCCTACCTAAGGGATAATGTCTCCACTTATAATACCTATTATATATTATAATACAATAGGTATATCATACAATAATTCCTCAGGACCCTTTGTATCTCGTGGTTTTCTTTCTAACTGAACTCTTAGTACCTAGTCTTGCTGATATTTTATTTTTTCTTTTGCTCTTTTTTTCATTCTATTCCACTTGTACTCCACTTGAGGAGAATAAGTATGGGCAGGAAAGCCCACCCATTAATTGTTTCATGATTTGTCATGCTGCAAAGAGGAAGAACAGGGAGGGATCTGTCTAGCTAATTGCAGCCTTATCACTGGTGGTTCCATTTCTCCTCAAACTGTTTAATAACATGTATATCCATCATAACTGTTTAACCAACCCTCGAGAGATTTTTTCTTAATTAATGATGATGATAATAACAGGAAGCTTCCATCAAATACTGCCTATTCAGTTGGTGGTTAGCTGGTTAGGATGCGTGTGAATCCTGGCATCTGTTTTACATGAAAGCATTTGTTCAGATTCAAGTCACTTTTGTTACTGAATGCTAATACTAATATTAGTAATACTATTACTAATTAAAAATAGTATTTAGTAATACTACTAATAATACTTAAAGTATGAAATCCACTAACTGATACAGAAGTAATGTTAATGTCTTTAGTATATTCAATCTTTTAACAACTCAAAACTCCTGGCAAAAACAAGTAAATATTTAATGGAATGGCTTGTTTAGTCTGCATAACCAAGTTCAGATAATCTAAAACATACACAATACAGGGTTCTTAAATGCCTGAAAGCCAAGAAACCCTGGAGAAATGAGAGATTGGGTTTCACTCCTTTTTTAATTATTGAAATGCTTCCTTTTCAGATCTATTACTATGAAGCCGCCCAGACTTTCATTTCTAAGCAATTTCAAGGAAGACTTGGTAGAGTGGCTGGACAGAACAACGCTTCAATAACCATCAACAATACACAGCCTTCAGACTCTGGAATGTATACCTGTGAAGTCAACAACATGCCTGACTTTCAGGGGCACAACCAAGGGAACATCTTTTTGTCTGTTTTAGGTAATTTTCATTTTAAGTTTTACATTGAACTCCACCAGATTTACTATATATATATAGCTCCCTGTATGTACTGTACAGTATATAGCTCTCTGGAGCACAGATGGAGATGATGGCAATTTCAACCTGTCATCATTTCTGATATAAATCTTTTAGGTCTAACCAATTAATCAAAACAGATTTCCCTCCTCCCTTTAAACTCAGGGGGTGGATTGTGCAGGATAAATTAGTTTTGTCTTTGTAAAAGGCTTTACAGCAAACTAAATTACTATATCATGTTTCTTGTGTGTATATTACTGCTTCGGTTTGTTCAAAAAGGCCTTAAGGTATAGTTAACAAAGATTTACCTTTTCTATTTCCATTCTGAATCATCTAGAATCCTTTTTCAATACAGGTGGTCCTCTAGTGTAGTTCTAATTATTATTTCCGTGACTATCCACGTAATTAAAATAGGACTTATTGGTCTATCATTATTGGTTCATTTTTATCAACTATTTTATGGATTGGTGCAACTTAACAATTTTCCAGTCAAAGGGTATTACCCCCAGTTTAAGGGATAGTTGAAAGAGTTTTATTAATGGTCTATGAATTACCTTTTTTCCATAGGTACCTATACCATTGCTTTTTTACAATTAGGCTGTGGAGATCTTAATTCTTTTAATTAAATATTATAACTAATTAATAACATTTTCATTTTCACTGCTAATACTATATAATATAGTTCTTTGACTTTACTCAAACTGGGTCAATTTTTAGTACTTGAGTGAAATATTCATTTAACATGTTTATTTTAATATTTTTTCCTCAGCTTTTTTTCTTTCATTGTCTAATCTTTTTTCCAGGATGTTTTTTTTTTTCTGCGAAAGTTTCTTCAATTATTGCTGTTTTTTTGCTTCAATAATGATAAAGAACAGATTGAGTTGTTTTAGCCTCCTTTTATTTCCTCTTTCTCTCACTGCTTTTCTAACATCTGTTCTTACCAGTGTTTGAAGTTTATTACCATCTATTTCTTTAACGGGATGTTTTTAACTGTTCTGTAAAGTGCTTTCTTTTTCATTTTTGTCTTATTCAATAGCTTTGACTCGTGTTTTGTGATCTCACAACATTGCCAGAAATTTCTCCAGATAATGCTAACTGCTGTGGGTTCTAGAAATCTCATGTCATGAATAATGGCAGGTGCCTTGTTTTTCATGCCATGAAACTAGCACATGGGAGATGAGGACCACAGACATAATTGGAAAAATATTAAAAAAAATATTTTGACACTCGCTCAGATTTACTTTTTCATATTCACATTTTATCATACTCACATGCAATCTCTTTATATGTTTATTTTTCTATCACAGTCAAACCTTCAACCCCTTTTTGCTCTGTCCATGGGACAGTGGAGTCAGGTCACCTTGTAACACTGACATGTCACTCTGAACACGGTACACCTCCTCCAGCCTACACCTGGAACAAAGTGGATAAAGAGACCAATAGAAACGTACTTGGGACAATGAGTAAGTTCATATGGACCGCAATGCATTTCAGTTCCATTCTGTATAAACACAAAACCCAAACAATCATTAACTTTAATTAAAACATAATTATGTTGAGAAATACTATGTAGAAAATGGAGAATAAGATTAATTAATAATTAATATCCACTTCATCCTCCACAGTTTAAGTTAGCTTGCTTGTACAGCCAGTTTGCATTTTTGAAACTTTATGTAGTATTGTTGACAGATGCCAAGTAAGGTCTCCAAAGGGTTTGGGTTCTGAGACATCTATGGAAATAGAGACTGTCTTGATTGGCAGTAGATTACACTTTTATTAAACTGGAAATGTTTAATTGAAAACAGAAAACTTGAGATTGCCTGAATATATGACTCATATAATACAGATACTGAGAAGCACTAAAAATGCAACAGATTAGTATTAGAACAAGTACTATTTGTTTTTAATGCCTTTCACAAAAAAGAACTGTAACAAAATAGATGTTCGGGCTTTTCCTTTACATTATTTTGACTTTATATGACATTTTCATTTTATTTTTTTATGTTGATTCACACCTAAAAACAACCTCCACATGTGCGAGATGCTTAAAATTAAACAAAGAACACAACTTTCAACATGACCCTCTGTGCTTAAACATTTAGACATACTTATATCCTTTTCTTCTTTTTCAACAGACATCCAGACTGGAGTGATGAAAATTTCCAATCTGTCTCAGTTTGAGTTTGGACAGTACCAGTGCAATGCCTCCAACATCTTGGGGTCTGCAGTTTGCGTCGTTGAACTATACGAAGGTCATTTTAAGAAAAAGCTGCAGGAATAAAATCTTTTGGGTGATAAAATGTTGGAAAAGAATGTTGTGCTTTTTATCTTTGTTTACAGCCAGTTTCTAACAGGGCAAGATAATCTGTGAATGATTCAACAGGCCATAATTTTTTCAAATACCCATGTAGGTCGAATCAATTTGTTCACAAGCAAATATTGAAAAATTAATAAAAGGATGATATCAGATTATGCAGATTATCAGGAACAGTATGGATTTAGAGAGGACTGGTCTTCTTTTAAGAGTTTTCTTAAAAGTTTAACAAATGTAATAAATATATCTCTTTTAAAAGTTAGATTTCATTAAACAAGGAATGGAGTAAAGGTTTTGTGATTAGTAGATACTGTATGTTTTAGGTTTGCTGTAGAGAAGGTTTCCACTCTCCATGTATTAATGGGAATGTGCCAGTACACTGAATTAATAGTTATGATTCCACATTAAGAAAGATTGAAATTTGGAAAAAAATTGGAAGTGTGTTTAAATACATTTTAAAAGGAGGGCATCATGAAGTATGTGCATAGAAAAACTATTCTGTAAAATAATTACTAAAAAAATATTTAAAGGTGGGCAGCACAGTGGCACAGTGCTTAGCACAGTGCTGCCTCACAGAGCTGGGGTCCTGGCTTAAATTCCTGGGGTGCTATCTGTGCGGAGTTTGTATGTGCTCTAGGTGTTTACTTGGGTGTCCTCCAGGTACTCTGGTTTCCTCCCACAGTCCAAAGACATACTGGTAGGTTAATTGGCTTCTAGAACAAGTGGCCCTGGTGTGAGTGTGTTTGTGTTTTTCCCTGCGTGCAAGGGGCAGTGTGGTGGCTCTGTGGCTAAACATCTGTGCTTGTGGTTGGAAGGTTGCCAGTTTGTATCCCGCTGTCAGCGGAGAAATCCTAGTCTGTTGGGCCCCTGAGCAAGGCTGTTAACCCCAACTGCTACAGAGGCGGCATATAAATGGCTGACCCTGCGCTCTGACTCCAAACTCCTTTCCCTGTCCGTGTGTCTCATGGAGAGTAAGTTGGTGTATGCGAAAAGACAAATACCTAATACAAAAAATTGTATATGGCCAATAAAGTGATCTTATCTTATCAGCAGTGGATCGGCACTCCTGTCTTTCACCAGTTGCTTGCTGAGATAGGCTCTAGCTCCCCTGTGACCCTGAAATGAATGACGTGGTTAGAAAATGAATTGATGGATATTTTAGGACAAGAAAAAAGGACTTTAAATCGTTGTCATTTTCTCATTTTTATTTCATATCATTTAAATGCAGACAGTGCTCAGAAATACAGATATAGATCCATAACTTCACTGCCTTCTACTTGCCAACAGTTCCCCATGGGGCAGAGGTCGTAGGAGCGGTGATTGGGGCAGTTTGTGGAGCTGCACTCATTGGCCTCATCGTGTGGTACGTGACACATAAAATGAGGAGGAGGAAATACAAAGCTGGCAAAGCAGCTGCTACTGACATGGAGTAAGTAACCTGCATATTCTTAAAGCCAGAGAGTTTTTTTTAAATTAAAACAACAAAGAGAAACAGTGATTTCTGTTGATTATTTTATGTCAAATACAATATAATACAAACCAGTGGCTGCAAAGAGATTCCTCTGGGCTGCAAGAGGAATAAGGCCATCATCCCACTTTGACCAGGATTCCTCATGCCATGGGACGTAATTAGTTGAGCACTGCCTGTGTTGAAGGGGTTCAGCTTGCTGCCTAACGGCAACTGCTTTGTCCAGCCTTGGGGTTTTGTCAGTGCATGCTCCATCATGCTGGTCAATGCTAACTGTAGTCTGGTAACTGCAGGACTTTCAGGTTGAATAAGAACAAAGTAATTCTGACATTATTTCAGAGGAAAGCATGCATTCCTCATCCTTTCCATGCTGGTGTGAGGGCAGTAGTGGTAACCAAAGTTAATATAATTAAGATACCATTGGCTTATGGCTTATGGCTTATGACAATAATTCTACGATTTTCCTCCTTACATTGAGGAGCAAACGTATCCAAAAGTAACAATTTGAGAAAATCAAGAGGAGATTCTGGAGCTGTGATTGCCAGAAAATATGATTCCCAGATGTGAAAATACAAAAATGAAGTGCAATCAATAGTAAACGACCTCTAAGTATTGTTTTTAATTTCTTAGGTTAAGTAGTTCACATCAGGAGGAATACTGTATATGAACAATGTGTGGATATTGCTATTTCATGCTGAGTAATTCGCTGGGCAGATGGAGCTGTCTTAACCCCCTTTTAATGGAGGATAAACTAGGCAGCTAATGCAAGCACAAAGGTAAAAAGGAGAGAGGAATGTGAAAAAATGTGCAAGCAAGATATCAGCAAGAAGCAGAACATTTGTACGATACATAGTGTAAGTGAAAGTGGGCAGGATTAGGGTTTGACCTCTTCTTGAACTTTGTTTTAAATTCTGTTTATGAAAGAGGTGTGGATTTGACATTTATGTTATACTGCACTTTTAAGACTCTGTTTTGTTTGAAACCACATACGACTCTTTGATGTGTTTTCTTTCTGCCAAAAGGGTGAAAGCTCCGGTGGAAGATCCGGTGAAGTACCAATCCGTCCCCACTGCAGAGAATGAACCGGTCTCCAATGCTGCAGAAGTCCCACCAGAGTCCACACCTGGTGAGGACAAACCTGAGCAGGAAGAAGCGTAGGTCACTGTGCTCATGTAAAGTTGAAAGGTCACCCATCAAAACTGTCAGTTGCTTCCAACAAGCTTCTATCAATCACACCCAATTTACAACCTCATGTGACTGCATATCAAGAAGAATGTGTGGTCTCCTTCGTATCTTGATTCAAAACAAGGAAGTAAAATGTAAGACTATATTGTAAAACTCAGTGCCACCATTCAATTGAGTACATTGGGTACATTTAGTACATTGAGTCAAATTTAAAATTCCAAAGTTAACCGATTACAAAGTTTGCAAGGGAAAATATAAACTGATTAATCTAAGTGCACATTAAATACCATGGTCCGTTTTTGACTAAATCAGGATAGCAGTTAAAATATATCTGGAAGAATTGATGGTTTTAAATCTAGCCCGCTTTTACAGTTGTTTCAAAATAGTGTTCTTACAATGTTTAATTATTCATCAGGACATAAACATTAATGTCAACGCAGACCTTATTAATTAAAATGATTAATTTAAATAACATGTGACAAAGTCTTATTTTGCATTTACTAATCTGGTGTTACAAATCTACACTATATTGCGATCAATGTAATAAATCACATGATTATCTTCAAGAAAGTGAGAGGCCACTGGGTAAATCAAGTGTACCCATTGCACCTTCTTGAGGATATTTGTTTTAATGCACTTTTGGTCTTACTAACTTGCCTAACTTGTGTTTACTCAACTTAATTTTCAATATGGTTTTTCTGTTCAATGCAATAGCACTGTAATACAGTATGTGACTTTTTGCATCCCTATACAGGTCAAAATAACCTGAAAGGATGTATTTTGTGTACTACACTGGATGTTTCCATGCAGAAACACCAAATGCATTAGTAAAATCAAAAAACAAAGTAAAGCCAAACAATGCAGCTCTATAAAATATAATCCAGTGGTCACTCATTTTGTTGATGACTTTTCTCACTTGATACTGTATGTACTTGTGTATGTATTAAGTCCATATCTCTATAAGGAGGCATTTTGGAACCCAGTGCAATGCAATGAACACTGACTTAAACCTTGATCATTTATTGTATTTAAAGACATTTGTACAACTCTTGTGTATATGTATTACATAACTAAACATTGTACCGTCTTTGAATAAATCATTTGGTAGTGGTAACCAATTTAACAGTTTTGCATTTTTAAGAGTTATGTGCACGCAAGTCTATCTACTTTTAGATTATCTAGGTATCTTGATGGGCTATTTATAACATAAGCAATTTACAAATTGATTAATTAATGAGAAATAAGGATTATTTTCACATGGTATGTTTTATAGTGTTTAATGTTGAGTAAATTGATGTTCTAATAATGTTTTTTTGCCAACATTGATGGCATATAATTTTTACAATGGATTAGAGAGGGTGGTCATTTGATTGCTTTGATTTATTTCTGCTGGATATCACCTCGTTAACTTGGAGTGTGCATTCTTTTTACTTTGTTGAATGTTATAGCAATTCTCACATTCCTTTTTTTACTATTTCAATCATGCCTGAAAAATTCTGAATGTGATTGTTCCCGATTATGTTTTTACCATTGTTACAGTATAACAGCTGCCAAAATAAAATAATTAGTTGGCTACAGTTTGTGTATGTTTGGCTATATGTACTGTGTGTTGTTCAACATATTTTAAATTGGAAGTAATAAAGGTTTTTGAAAATAATGAACTATATCAAAGACTACTTTGTCATTTTAACATCTCATTTAAACTAGTTTTCTAGATATTTATCTATTTTTGAATTCCTGTGAAGCCTATTAGAGAATTATTAACAAAATCTGCTTCATAAATAAGGAAAACTTTGTTATTTTTTAGCATTTTTCTTTGCACACATATTTCTGCTCCCAATTCAAAGTTTAAGGGTATATGTTAATAAAAATGACCAGCTTTGGTTAGTACTTGGACTAGCTCTGCACTATTACTAGGCCTCTTAATCATCACTGAATTTGCAAACAGGTGTCCTGAAGTTTTTCAGGACCCTATGCAGACGGCAGAATCCGGAGGGGAGTGAGACAAACACGGGTAGAGAAGACTAGGATCGGGGCTGGCTCGGCAGGGCGTGGTTCAAGGCAAACAAGTCCAAAGGGAGTTCGTAGGGTAATCCAGAGTAGGCAAGAGCCCATAGCCTGGTTATCCATCCAATACAGAGATGGAGTGGGATCCAGTGAAGGGTAGGGGGATTAAAAAAGGGGTAATGGGGCCAGGCACTCCAAGCCCCAGACCCAGATGGTCAGGACGCCGTTGCGAAGCCTATGCTGTCGGGCGACTCCTGGACTCGCTGGTAGGCAGGTTTCCGGGCATCCATCTTCCAAAGCTGAGCCTGGAATGGTGGGAGCGTCTCGCTTTTGTTGGGAGGGGCTGGAACAGGAGGGCGGTACCAAAAATCAAGACAAACAAGAAAGAGCCGGATCCTCCTTAAGAGTAGGGACTTACGATCGTGAGTTTCTTTCAAAGAGTTTCTTTCAAAGGGTCACTGAAATAAAATTCCAATGGGGCACGATTAACAGTGCGAGGCAACAGTTTGAAACCAGACTTCTTAATGCACTCCACTATAGCCCTCACAGTGGGGACCATAGCCCTCAGCATGGACATCGAAATTCTCACAATGGCCACTGTAACCCTCACCATTGGCACTGTAGCCCTCAAAATGTGTTCTGTAACTTTCACAATGGGCACTTTAACTCTCACGATGGGCACCATAGCCCTTACCACTTAAGCACACATTCTCATCTAGCAGAATTGTGCTGATGATAAGAGCCCTATTGTTAGCAACGCCAAAAAGACCAAGTCAAGTCAGAGTCAGGGAAGTGATGACGACAGTCCTCTGGAAGTGGAAACATGTTTTTGTTACAAACTTTAATATATATATTTGCAGATAAAAGAACAGGAGATGTTGTGTTTAAAAAACTTCATAGAATTTTTCAGAGATTTAGACTGTATTTCTAAATGAGTTTGCAACAAAAAATGAATCTAAATACAGTTTAAATTATTTGATAAGGGTTTGTTAAATTCAAATTTCAATAGTGCTGTATGTTCAGTTCAGTTTTAGTTAAATTGATCTTCATGCACTCCAGAATAACAACAATAGGCTATTCTATATCCATATGTTCCTGACAGCACTTTTTTTCCCAAATAAATAGGACCATTTTGTTGTCCAAATTTACAATTAACACTTGCTTGACTGTATATCATTGATTTAAAAATACTATTAGTTACTATTTTTCTTATGTTTTTTAAGTTGTCCTATTGACGGAAGGGGTTTGTGACAGGCCAGCTGTAGTGAGGATGGATGCATTGTTTATATAATAATTGGTAGAGGTTGAAGAGCCACATTCTCATATAGGGATAATTTAGAGTGTTTGTGATACACAGTGGTAGTTGGTTATTGGGTTGGTTTAGAGTGGGTCTTTGGTGGTTGTGTCTTAGAGGCTTTTTGCCAGAATAAAAACTCCTCTGCACTACAGTATATTCTGCTGTGCTTTGTGAGTTTCATGTGCTTGATGTATCACCTATCTAGAGGGAGGTCTTTCATAATGTTTAAATGTTTTTCAAGCAGATGGGGATCCAGACTAACGGGTTACACAAAATGCAAAATACAAACAAATTTGAAAGCATTCCTTTAACTCTGCGCACTCCCCACTCTGCTCACTTCTTTGTGTTGGATACTCAATCTATGAAATTGCTCTCACAAATAAACAGGTGATCAAATGGTGGACTTTATCATCCTTTTTCTGAAAGGAAACTATATGTGAGTATACATTTTATTTTTTTAAGCTTTATACATCAGGGATAGCAATATAATTTTCAATTACTATCCTATTCAATTACTATAAAGGATGATGTTCCTCAAGTTACCTATGTGGTCAAAGGGTTTAGTGTTGTTATTCTTTTTATTAAAATACAACAATTTGTTTTTGGTGGGGGAGGTGGCATGTTTTAGTCATCCCTAAAAGAAAGGAAAGAAAAGAAAGTAGGAACCTAAGATATAATCAGTGTTTTGCTTTTTGCATTCTGTTCACTTTGAACAGGAAGGTCAAACTATTTCAGTTACTCATATTACTGCTTCATTTTTTTTTTATAACCCATCCATGTAAAACTGAATAGAAAAGAGATCTAAACTAGAGGATCATCTGTATGATGACAGGATTTTATAGCATTCTCAATGTGGATTTAGAAAAGATATTTTCTGCTTAACAAACTTGTTAAACATCTGCAATATTGATACAAATAGAACATATTATATGTTATATTTTGATTTTCAGAAGGTTTTTGATTAATTCATCAAAAATATTAACTCATATATTGCAGGCAGAATAAGGCAGAATAAGGCAGAAATAAAAATGAGGTGACCTGGTTCAAGTATTCAATAAACTTTGACAAAGTCAGCCAATGGATTTCTTCAGAATAAACAGTGAAACTCAAACCAGAGGATACAAGGGAATTGTGTGTAAAACAAATGTGTGGCCCTATTTTACACATAGTGTTGTGGGTTTCTGGAACAAGTTACTCAGCTGTGCTGTTAAAGCTGATACAGTATATACAGTAGAGTATGAAGTTATGTACTCTGAAGTCATCACTGTTAATTGACATCAAATAAGCAATTATTTAATTCATTTCCTCCTTTAAAATCACAGATTCCAAACAAACCAAAGACTAAAGGAACACAATTATGCCACATGTGTAATGTTCAAAACACTTATTCAAGACTTCCACACCATATGAACAATCATAACTACACATCTAAACTAAACGACAACTACAATCTGCACATTAAAAATTAACAGATAGGGAGTTAGCTCGACTATTAACATTCCCATGTTATACAGTACTTTTTCTAGGAGGCCATGAAGCCTTTAACATTTGTGAAGTATAAACTTCTTAAGACATGATAAAAGCATAAAATCAAGAAATTACTGTGATCAGTTACTTACTGGCAACCAAATGAGATAGATGAATTGAATGGCTGAATGGCTTTCTTATGTTCTAATTTTAATTAACAAATTCTTTGCATTTATATAGTGATTTTCTTTCCAAAGGATCCCAAACTGTTTTACATATAGGAAAGTACCTGCTAGTACTGTATGTACCTATAAGGAGACTCTTATAATAAAGTGTTACCATATTTCTTACCTTCCTTAGTAGTTTGTTAGCCAAAGCAGTCAGTAGGACAGTGATCTCATTGCTGCTGAGCCTGTTCAGGTGCTAGCAGGTGCCTGATCTTTGGAACCCTTATTTGTAGCATGCAGTCTGTACTGACACCATAATTGGTGAGCAAACTAAGAAAACTAAGAAAACTTAGCAATGTATATGTGTTATGCTCACTCAGCGTAATCCTTTCCTTTGTATTTGCATTACATATACTCGGTTTTTGATGAAGATTAAAAATGTTTATTATGATAAACCTGTTTTAAAATAAATAAGCTACTGTATAGTTTTGTTTACCCTTTGCTCAAAAACCATCTGCAGTTTTAAATAAAAACTATTAAACATGACAATGTTAAACAATAACCATCTTTTGAAAAAAATAAATGTTATGCTGCTACAAAGGGGAGGGAATGCTGCTTTTTGGGGAGGGAATCTGGAATTGTGTGTTTTTTTATTAACATATACCTATCCATTTGGGAATCATTGGCTGCTACAGTATGTTGTTTCTGCAACAACTTCTGCACGTCTTGGTAGAAAAATTATTCTTAACTAGCCTATCCATCCTTTAACACACTCCACACTTGATACATGTTTTGACACACTGCAGTCTCCACAGAATCCAACAGGAGAATACACCCACATAGCTCACAAACATCCTACACATTCTAGGAGTCACTATTTACTGATAAGCTGAATGGAACCCAAGCAAATGTACACTTTTGCTTTGTGAATCCTGGTAATGCAGGTCTGCCACTCTTTGAACAATTCAGGAGCCCCCAAAATGAGAACTTTCATTGTTGGTATTGCTTTTCATGCACTCCAGCACACCAGCACAGACATCCACAAACATATTTCCATTACTGGCAATGTTTCTTCTGTCTTTAGGTTGATCTAAGGTTTGTTGTGTTGTCCTTGATTTTGATGTTAATCATCATCTTCTGTTAGGAATTAAATTAATGATCTCAGTCTAATGTTTAATTTTAAATCTATACTTTTGAATCCATTTATTTTCAGAAAACTTACTTTGAATTGCATTGCCTGAAGATGATGGACCTAAGTTTTTTGACAGAAGAAGAGCAAGAAATCTTGAGGGCTGTAATTGTTAAAGATGCCGCCCTAAAGGAAACGGAGTATAACAGAATTAGGTAATAAGTCCAGGTGGCTGGGCTCTTATGATATCATAACTTGCAATGATCCGTTACATAGAGCTGTGCCAGAGCATAGCAGTTTATCAAAAATGTTGCTGTACTTAATATTTTGTACTACTGTTACAAAATCATACTGCTTTAGTGTGCAGTTTTCAAAGTTCTGAAAGGTAAAATATTTAAATTAGTTGTACATTCCTTAAAATACAGTTCTGTTAACATCTGAGGTGCTTTCATTTAAATTTCATGAATCTAGTGCTTGAATTCTAGTGATCAAAATCAAAATTAATCATCTGTATATGATTATCTGTTAATTAATAATCTTCTAAATATTAATTATTTTGTGTTCTGCTGAAATTGATTTATTTTTGCACAGACAGCTGGAAGCCAAGCTTCATGATGAAAAGCAATATAAACTTGTGACAGGAATATGGTTTGAGGAAGTCAAAGAGATGCGCTATCAGGATGGTCTCAATGGGACTGACCTTGTGCGATCATCACTGTGGAATAGTGGCATACAGGGTAAACTGCACACTTTAGTTTCCTATTCTATTACATTTCCTTTCCTGTGTTACTGTTCCACTTTTGCATGAATGGTATCGTTTTATCTGCCAACTGGTGGAACAATTGACTACATAGAAAATGATTGGATTACAGGAATTCTATAGTTAATATCTCTATTCTATACTTAATGTCATTGTTTTAACACTCTCAGAATAATAACCCAACTCAAATCAGGCCAAATGTGCTCTCAAACATTCAAACTGGGAATTACATAGTTTTCCTTCATTTTGACATAGATTTGGCAAAGTTAGCCTTGAAGTAAAGAATTATTTTTTTTTAGGGGAAGATTTTTTTCAGCTACACTACTGTTTCATCACTGTGCATAGTATTGCATCTAAAAAGAGATTTATCTTATTTTGTGTTGCCAATCTATCTAAAATGTGAACAGAAATTCATCAGAATGTTTATATTAATGTATATTCAGAAGCATACAAAATAATAGCCACTTTAATCTGGTTTTGTGTTACATTCCTCAATTCAACTTCAATTTTACAATCTGTTTTGCCTGCTTAAAGCTAATACTAGTACAGTATGTACTGTAAGTTCAAAACATGAAAGTGTTCCATTTTACGCTCATATTCCTTTTGTACTATAGAGGACAAAATCAAGGACATTTATTTCTCAAATTTCTTGCCTGGATCTAATTAAAATTCATATTCTGTATATTCTGTATTTGTATATCTGTATATTCTGTATTTGTACTGTATATGCTGTATTTCTCTTCCATGACACAAGTTGAATGTTTTGATGTAAAGAAGCACAGGGTTACCATTCTTGAACAATTCTTAATATTAAATTAGTAAATTCTTGTATTTTTTATGTATTTGTTTTTTTAAGATTACTCTAGTGAAACCAGCAGTTCAACAGAAAGTGTCTATTTGGTACCATATCTTGGCCCGAGAGATGATGAGGTTGCAGAAGCTAGTCAGGACTTTTCTTACAGGTAAATTAAGTTTAATTAAGTGTGCTCAGAGGATGTTCTTTGTTCATCTGTTGTATTTCTAAATAACATTTTAGACCATATGTATGTAAGGTCTATTTTTTCATATGATAATAGCTTCCTCAACACCTTTTCCAGTTTAAGGAGGATAATCTAATTTCCAGGAAGCAGATACTTCTGAATTCTGATACACATTTGCATAACATAATTGATTCTGTTTGAAAAGTGTTCAAAAGGTTTTTGAAGTGAGATATGCAAAACAAACAGGAGCAATATGGTACACAAAATTTTTAAAAACATAGTGTTTTGTTGTTATGTCCCATAGTCTGTAAAGATAACTGAGGGAACCAATGATAATAGTGATGAAAAATGTGCAAAGACTACCTGTACTACCGGTACATGTTTGCAATTTCATGCACAGATAAAATTATAAAGAGGAATAATAATAAATTCCAAGAGGAATAATGCCTGTTTTGCTTATTTTACATTAAAATTTACAACATCTTCAAAAGCAGTGGAGTATACAGTACCAGTGTAACAAATTTGTTTTTGTTTCACAGGTTTGCTGAAGATATGAGGGAATATCAAAAGAACCTAAATGCCCCCAAATCCATCTTAAAACCACAACGTCAACCACCCTCAATCCCTTTTTCTTCTCCATCTTTACTATCCGAAGCAAGCAAGGTGAATGCGGTCTCTTTTTGTTCTGAAATGTTAATAGGAGCCCACATTACAATAAAGCACATTTGAATAAATATGCTCTTATGTGTGAATCTTGCATTCGAAACCCAAGCAATGGAAAACCAGCCTTCCAAAGCAATTGAATTTATCTGATTTGATTGTATGTTAAAAAATGTAATGATGCAAACTTGGTACTGAATACTTAGTGGTACTGAATGGGATTACATGCAGCACACAATGTGATTCTGGATATTTTTTTTTTCTTACACCCCTTGAATTGGAGAAGACTTGAAGTACAAATAAATACACATCCCTGTTACTTGGAAATCTTCAGTCCCCAAGTTTTTCAAATGTATAGGGATAAATAGTTGTGGATACGTTTTTGTCAACAACAGCACCTACCCCTTCGCGAGAGCTGAGTATGGAAAACAGTCCTCTCTAGAAAGAAAGATGTAATTATGTACATAAAGAGGGAACATACTCTATATTAACTTTTCAAAGGGCATTGTATCTTTTGCAGAACTGTTAAGTAAAATACTGTGAACATTTCAATACAAAAAGTTTAGTTTTATTTTTTTTTCCTTTTTTGGATTTTGCAGGAAATGACTTCTTATGTGGGAACAGAGCAATCTTTCTCAAACACTGCAGTCTTAGGAACACCCATACAGACATACAAAGGTGACTCTCCTATTGTTGTCTATTCTGAAGTAGATTATTTTTCATTTAGTGAACATTGAGGTAATGTTGGCACAATTTAAATATTTACAAATTGCTTGTAATATTTGAATTATCCCACTGAACATACATTGAGTCTTTTGATATCATACAGTACATGTAAATGATTATTTGCCTATTTCTTTTGGAATTAATAATGACATCGAACTCTAAAATATAACTAATTTATCTTATTTTGGTTTTGTTTTTCTTCCTGCTTTGATAAAATAAATATTCTGAATAACTTATCAATCTTCTTCTTTCACCAATTGTTTCAAAAATTGTTTCACTGTGAACTAGAATCACAAACAATGTCCTCAGCAGAATGACTCTCATTGAATCAGATCTAAGAAAAGAAATACAGTATAATTAATTCAAACCACCTTTTGTTTTACAGAATGTACCACTTCATCAGTGAGTCCCACACACTATTCCAACACCATTCGACCTGAGAAAACTACTAACTATGAAGTCTCGGATAACAGTGTATTGAGAGAATTTGGGTCTTGCAGCTCCTCAGAAAATTTTGAGGAATCTTACATACCAACAGATGAGGAACACTCTCCAGCAGACCTCTCCATTCTGCCAGGCAGGGCAGAGGAAGCTAATACGAGTGAACAGGAATATCTACTAAAATGGCTTAACACTGAAGACCCTGTGAACCTTCCAAGACTGCAGAGGTCTATATCTCTCCAGCCATTTAGGAACCCAGCCTTCAGAAACCTTAGAGAAGACATGATTAGGAAACTATATTTCCTGAGAGCTTCTGAAAGTCCATTACACCATGGTTTTAATTTCTCACCTGGACCTTTCCCAAGAGTTCTGCCACCTACACCTGCTCCCAGGTCCGTTCCTCATGCAAAAACTGAGAACCCAGAGCCAGTACCAGATGACCATGACCCTTTAAATAAAACTGTTGTGGAACACCTATCTGAGGAGGAACCTCCAACAATTAAATATGGGACACATGCTAGAGCCCCATATCTTGCACAAACGTCTATTGTAGAACAAAAAGAAGAAGAGGACTACTCTGCAGAAACACAAGACTTCTTAAACAGCATAACAGAGGCCTTCAGAGAAAATGAGAGTTTGAACAGGGACCCAATGACACCTTGGAAAACATGTTCCAGACAAGCAATGCTCAAAAGCAGTAAAGATGAAACAGACAGTGAAACCCATAGAACGGAGAGAGCTGACACCAGTGAAGAATCTTCTGAGGATGACAGTACAGGCCAGAAAAATGAATTTGGTTTGTACAGTTTTTCTGCTGTGTTCTTTTTTCTCAACTGGGCTGAGATGAAAATGACACAACATCATACAGAAAATATTTGTTTAATATTTGTTTATTTACCAGAAAGGGTGCTATACTCTCAACGTGCTGGCAAAAGAGCAAAGAGAAATATAATTGTTCAGTTTGGTCGGGGTTTTTTGTGTGCCCTAGTGTCCTTTCCAGGGATTAAGTCCTGCCTTACATCCCATGCTTCCAAATTGGGATCCCTACTCGGGAATAAGCTCTTCTCATCTTGAATGGACAGATCATTTGTAAATCATTTCACTAAACATGTGATACATGTCAAATGAGATGTATTTCAGTACAGTAGGTTTACAGCTGCATTTCTTTTGAACTACAATAACATTTCGTGCCTAATTCCTGTTAAACAAAGTAGTGGTTATAAGAGATTGTGACACTGACACTGCTTAATCTGAATTAATAATTAGACTTAGTTATATTGTGACAGCTATAACTGTTATGTCTTATATGACTGGGCAAGAAATGCCTGCACTGCATAATTTCTTCACTGAAAGCTTCAGTACACTTTCTGTATGCACGTATTTCAATTTACTAAAATATTAAATGTTCTTTGACATAATCTAGAATAGTTCCTTAGGTGTTTGTTACTTAAAATTCCCTCTCTTAAAATTTCTTAGCAACGATTTTGTGACACTTCAAGTGGCATCAAATTTATCAAATCTCTGATTCTGTTTTTGCTCAGATGAAAACTCATTTGCAAAACGATTTGCTTTACATTGAGTTTGCACAGTACTGCATGAAACTGTATTATATAATGTATAAAATGGATTAAACCTACTCTTCTTCCAGTTCATATTTAATTTTTTATAATCAGTTTTGTTTGTAAGAAAACATATTTGCCATGTAAACCTTTATTCAGATTTGGATATATTTTTTTCATTTTAGACTCTCAGAAAAGTGCATCTCAAGTCATGGAAGCTTTGGCCAGAGCTCAAGCTACAAAAGTAAAATTCTGTTTCCCTGAGAAAAGTGAGTATGGTCACCATTTTAGATTGATTAATATTAATAATGTAAATGTGTTAATTGCATTGCAATTCTCAGTTATTTGCTATATTCTTCCCTTTCTCTGACAATACCACTCTATACACCAACATCTGTACCTTGTCTTGTCTAACTATAATGTTTACACCTTTTAAAAATTAAAGTTACTGCAAGCCAACAGTAATGAAGATGGAAGTTTAGCTGACCTGCCACTAGGGGATCGTTGAGGCCTTTGTTGTCTGTACATAAGTTCTTATGTGGTAAATTAGTTGATCAGTTAAAAAAGAAACTTTTAGCTTGTTCCAATACTTATGCTCACCTAAAATGGTGAAAGAAAAGATGACATTCTGTACTTTGCCCTCATATTAATATTTTCAGGTCAAATCCAGATTACTTGTGTATACAGCAAAAACAGCAATATGCACTTCACTAAACCCCAAAACCTACAGAGGGCATTTTATGCCTTAGAACTGTTCCCTCCCTAAATCCCATTCTCGTGTAGTGTTGGTTATATAGTGTAACTAAAATTCAGGGGTTTTGAAAGCATGGCATGGAACCAATTGCATGAGTTACAAGACTAGAATATCAGAGATATGTCTAACGTTGTGGACCTCCTTTCTAATAGTTTCACCAAACATTGTGCTGATTTCAACAGCTGAGTAGATCCTCCTAGGTATCTGAAGATGGAAAAACATACATTCACTATCCAATTATTCAGTCCATTTTCTGGTTTAGGAAGAATTAAAAACACCTACATACATTTATATCTATATTGCATAGATGTAAACAGTTCTTGTGGTGATAGTGATAAACTGTATGGAGGTCTTGTGGAGCTGAAATTCTGTAGATGCCTGCATCTGTTAGCATTGCTTTAGGAACAATCACTCAATAATGCTCAACCCTATCATAATCGATTGTTCAAGATAGTTCCTCATGTTTGTTGATGAAAAATGAAAAAAATTCATTCAAAATTCAAAATTCATAAGCTCATTATTGGCTCTGACAAACATTAGGCAACATCTGCCCAGTTTTCCAGGGAGCATTCCCTTTTAACCAGTATAAACAGTTTAGAAATAGTATTTCAAAAATAGATGTTGTGGTTACCATCTTCTCTACTATAGTCTACTAACCATAAGGAAAACATTACACACTTTAATGCAAGCGCTTACCCAGTTACTAAAGATAAGCATGTTTTGTACTAATTACACCCTGCCTCACTCAGACACGTACAGTACACTACATTTAACAGTTATTTAATTATTTGATTAGTAAACTATGTGCAAGTACTTGCATTCTTGCATTCGATGGCAAGTTCTTGTCATCGTTTCAACCACATCTGGGGTAATCTACCACAATTAATTTCCTATAGCACTCTTCTGCTGAGTGGAGTTTTAAAAGCACAGTGGCTGGTCTCATATGCAGAGTTATACATTGATGGATATGCATTTCTATATCACATCTAACAAGCTCTTCCAGAAGCTTAAAAGTAACGATAGTGCTCTCAAATGTTTTAATTCATTTCAGTTAATGAAAACATTCATTTATGACAAATGATGAAAAAATCGTTCTCAAAGATTAAGACAAGAAAAGTGCAGAGAATTTTCTTTCCTCATTGTGTGCAGAGTACCAAAGATTGTACTTAGATATGTAGTTTAAGTACATTTGCAAATTAGAAAACTCTGTATTTGAAGAAAATAGATGGACACAGATTCTTCTTCACATCTGAAAAGGCTTGCAAGAGGCTGACCGTCTTCATTTTCTGCTCCCTGCACTCTGTTTTCTAAAAGGACTATTTTTATGTAATACAAAGCCTTCACAGTTACTGTCTCAGACCTGATGACCACTTAAGAAAGAAAAGGCTTGAAGAAGAAAATGAGGTGCTAAACCCGTGATGGGTGAAGACAGTAGTGCTAAGTTCCCAGAAGAGTCACAACCACAGAGGGAGAGAAGTTTGCAATCACTGGTGTCCCCAGAAGCTTTAAGAGGGGATGGCTATTGCCAGGCATCCAAGATGAGGGAGAAGGTGTCTGTGGAAGGGTGGAGTTTTGGTCTGCGGATGACCTACTAATCACCAATTATTGTGTTTAATGTTTTAAACCTAGGACACTTGTAGTTGCATCCATTTATATGACAGGGTAACTAATTGGAACAGCTGGGGTGAAAGAGTAACAGGGAAAGAGCTGTAAGAGGGCAGAAGGTGAAGACAAAGTGGAGATTTTTGTCTTCACCACATTCTGCAGAGAGCAATGGGGAGTGACTCATTGTCCTCAGTCACCTGACCAATTAGAGGAAAAAGATAGGTCAGGTGACAGTTAAAACCTGGAAATTGAATCTTTCATTTATCTGAGTCTTCCAGTCAACCTGTGCTGCCAAGGAAGAGAGCAGGGACTTCACGTAATACTGAGTTTTTTTTAAAGCATGTGCTTTTGGGTTTTTGTGATTTTATTTTGGAAAAGGGTCTCAAAATGAGACTTGACTGTGATGTTGGTATACAGCTTAGCTGCCCAGCTACTTTTTAAGAGAGATAAGAAGAAATGTAGTCAGAGCTCCGATATAGTTTTTTTTTCTGCTTTTTTAATGTAATCACATTGTCAGTAAAATAATGCTGTTTTTAGCTCATGGTGCCTTTTTACGTTTGTATCTGTTTTCCCTGAAACTAGACTATTCAACAATCTTGTTATGGCAACCTGCCTCTTTGTTTGCCACACTT